TAATTATATAAATATATTAAACGATATTTCTGATATAATATAGAAAATATTTTGATTGTATATATTACAAAATAAATATGAAAGATCAGAATAGAGAAGCGAATAAATGACATTTTTTTCGTTCGATCGATTTAAAATTGAATCTTAATTTATATATTTTTTTTTTGTATTATTTAAATAAGAGTAAAATTAATTAATCAATAGCCAACATTAATTACCATCAAATTTATAACTCAAAGAATAGCATAAGAAGACAATAGAAAATATCGATCGAAATTAAAATCAACAGAAGAAATATTGAATTTGTATTAATAAAATTATCTGAATTTTATAACGCAGGAGAGAATATCGAGAGATAAAAACAATATTACTCGAGATAAGGGACATTGAAAAGTAACACGATAATCGATAGAAAGTTTCATGAAAATATCCGATCAATTTCTAAAACGATTTGCTATCCTCCTATGATCGCTTTTATAATCGTCTCATGCTTTCGACGGGTAAATTTTTCAACGGGTAAGAGGGGGATGGGGATAGCGGGGAGAGATGCCAAGAGGCAAAGCAATAAACGTCACTAAAAATATTTGACCTTTTATTATTTTTTTTTTGTTGTTTTTTTTCTTTTTTTCTTTTCGAGTTGCAACGTTGTCGGAAATTAGAAGGAAAAAAAAAGGAATAAGTGTCATAACGATCGCCGCTCTACGACCTATTTGTACGCCAGTCACGGAACTTCCAATACCGGTCTAAAGTCTCCTGTGCGAGCGAAGGTAGACAAGTACGATGCTAGCTCGTTTACGCATTCAAATTGCTTGCGTTATTATACTTGTACCAGAAATAAAAATAATGGGGAAAAAACGTAAGCCGATCGAAAATTGTGTTTGATTTCGAAAAAATTTTTTTCTGAATTGATTTAAAATTAAAATTTACAATTAGAAAAGGAGACGTTCGTTCTCGCATTAAATCGCTTTGTTCGTATCAATATACTCGTAGCGGAGATAAAAATAATGAGATGAAAAAGACAATGAAAAGAAAATTCCGAGACGATTCATCAAAACTATCTTAACTTGTTTAAAAATTTCTCTTATTTCATTTCTTATAATCATGTTAAATAAAAGAAACCCTTTAAGAAGGCATTTAAAAACGCTTTATATTAGTATCTAAGTATTTTTATGTAAAATGAAAAAGTGTGATTAATCGATTGAAAATTATTCGTACGTAAATAAAAAGATCTTCTTGTTTAATGTTTGAAAAGTAAGGGTGTTAATCCTCGGATCGTTCGAAGGATGCAACCGTGAAGGATGATGAGAAGATCGCGTCCTTGTCAGGGAGAAGAGGAAGGAGGAAACAACGTTTTGTTGGATTGCTCGCGGCCAACTTGTATCGCGAGTCGCGGAATGGTGCAGTCGTATGATTCACTTGGGTCGAGACCTCATGTCCGACCGGTTGTTGCTCGAGCAAACGATAACGGTTCGAGACTCGATTAATACGTAATTCCTTAATTGGCAAACGACACGTGAAACGCGCTATTTTCTTTGCGTCAACTTGTATTCGCGGAAGCGTATCCTCTGATCGTTCTTCTTCCCACAGAGTATGTATCGCGTATAGATTTCAACGGAAAGTGTCCGACGAGAATCGATAAGCAATCTTGAAAGCATTTAAATTTGACAGGTTATCGCCCACTCGTGAAGTCATTCATCATATATTACGAGAATAATATGTAAAATAAAAGAGGATTGATATTGTCTTGCTTTAATTTATTATCATTATGTTATCATTCAGATTTCAGATCAATCAACTTAATTTAAATATTATAGAAGAATGAAAAGTCTCTGAATGATAGAAAGTATATTTTTCTACATTGAAAATTTATTTTTAATGATCATATAAATTCATCCTAAACAGATTTAAATTAATTACAACAGATGCAATGTTATTAATACTGAATTTATAAAATTAAGCGCACGAAGTTATTTTATTTTTTTTTTCTTTTTTTTTTTTTTTTTAATATATGAACATCCACAATCATTTGTTTTGCGTAAATTTTCATACATTATCAACAACCGATATAATATATTTATAAAAAGTACTTGTTACATATAACTTATAATATGATATATGTTACGTTTTTACAATTGTCTCGATGCAATTATATACTACGATATATGAGACATTACGAAACTATACGAAACAATACTATAGGATAGTAGGTATATAACACTATACGGCATTATCCAATTCAACAATGCAAATGACTCGTCTGGTCTTCCATTGCTTCCTAAAAATCATTCACTCACACGTTAATATCACTACATGTTAACACCAATACCAATATTCTGATTGACCTCGGAACGTATTCATCCTGCACACACACCCAGTAATCTCATTTACGAATGACAAATTCTATCATTCATTCTGTACAATGGCCATGGGAAACAATATCAAACTGCTGTTAAGTTTTGAAACTTTATTATTATTATTGTTATTATTATTATTATTATTTAGTTTATTTTTCTTTATCTTATACAATATAATATAGATTCCGTTCTATATGGCATCATATTTGTCAATACACAAAATACGAAGTGAGTTGACACGTATGAAAGAATGACTCATGCTGTTGATAATACTACTACTACTACTACTAATGCCAGGGACGAAATCGTTTCGTAGAATTTTATGCGAGCGAATAATGTAAAAATGCGAATGGTGTTTTCTCCTCTTGTTGATCGTCCGAAGGACAAAGGATTATACGGGCGACAGCACGAACGCGTTGTATTTATAAACATGGAACTGATCGATCGCTCTAACATACTCAAATTATCTCGAATGAGAAAGGTTAAAGGAGCGAGTTGGGGTGGTGTAGTGAGAAATAATAATTACTTGATTTCGCCTCCTCTCAAACTATTAATTATACAGATCCGGGAGAAGTTTTTGTACTTCTTTCTTTTCTTTTTTTTTTTGCTTTTTTTTCCCTGTTTTATTTTTTGTTTCATTTTCAATTTTCCGGTTTCGACATGTTCGATCTCGGCTCGTTATATTTGGAAAAAAAAAAAGAAAAAAGGAAAAAAATAAAGTCATTCGGGATGCATGATGAAATTCAGAGAGTTCATTCGGACGGAAAGAAATATAGCCTTCGATATCAAGGACGATTATAAGAACTTGTCCTTTCCTCTCTTCAGTTTCTTTCTTTCCTTCTTTCTTTCTTTCTTTCTTTCGAATATGTATAGAGTAGATCGCAGACATCACGAGAAGAACTCGAAAGAGAAGAACTCGATATCCGAGAAGGCAATCGCCTTTCCGTAGGAGTTCGAATGAGGAAGAGGAGGAGGAGGAGGAGAACAATAAAGTTAATGAAGGCCCGTGCCGACTCGAGGTGAACTCGTGGAAGTCGCCCACGCGTTTCTTCTTTCTCTTTCATTTTCTTTTTTATTTTTCCTTTTTTCTTCCTTTTTTCTTTATTTCTTTTTGTAAGGAACACGGCGAGAGAAACGTCAGCCGTCGTATAGTTTTGTTGTTGGATTAAAAAAAAAAAAAAGAACAAGAGAAAACAAAAAAAAATCGATAAATGTGTAAGTTCGATCAACCTTCGATCTTCTCTCTTTTGAATTGATTATATTGAACGATCGATTTAAGAATAACACGAGAAAGCTTCGTGATTCGAGTTTACCTTTACGTTCTCGATGATTCAGAGTTGTCCGCCGACGTAAAGATCGAGGATCGAGATTCTACGGATCCTCTTCGGAGTTTAAAGACCGGAGAAAGGAGATTACGGACGTCAGTGTCGAGAAAAGAATGGGCTATTGAAACGAAGCTGGAAGGTGCTACCTGAATTCGCTCGATCGAACGCATCTCTCTCTCTCTCTCTCTCTCTCTCTCTCTCGATTTTTTTATGAATTGAGGCTAGTCGAGCACTTTCGCGTGGGCTGTGCCATACCAAAAGCGTTTGCCGACTTTGAGATGAAAACTGGATTCTCCGTTACTCGTGGTAATGTTCGCCGATCATGTACGTTCGGTGGATCGAGATCCTTCACGTACAATTTCTTCAAGTTATTAATATCTTCGTTTATATACGATTAAAACGTAAAAAAAAAAGTTTTACCGTTATGACTTTGCTCGATCGTATCAAAGATACGGATTATGTCATGATCAATCACGAAGGACAGGATGCACGGGGTCTTGTAAGAGCTCGCCATTTCGAAATCAGAGCTGCTTAGATGAGTCTGACTTAGCGTTACATTCGCATACCATACATTCTCGCCTTTTAACACTCGTCGTTCCAGTTTTACTTTTCTCGCAATTCGCGCTCACCATGACGCGGACTATAACGAGTAATCCGTTCTACCTTTCTATATGGTAGATTGTAGAAGAGAGAATGAGAGCAATTGTAAGAAATAAAAAAGAAGTAGAAAAAAAAAATATATATATATATTTTTATAGTGAGAAGAAAAAAGTGTACTTTATAAGAAAAATAACTCGCGATCGAAATATATTATAAAAAACATCTATTGTATTTTGATAAGTGAGTAAAAACGAAAAAAGTTATCATTTTGAAAGTACATATTTCAAAGATAAAAACGTGAATCGTGATCCCAATGAGAATACACGACTATGTATCCACGTAATCTTGTTCATAGTAATGCAAAGTGTTTGCCAAGCGGTAAGGCACAGCTGTGGCGACAGATGTCGAGATCTCGATCGTTGGTTGCATCGATTTCAAGCTACGTATTTGTAACTATAGAGCAAACTATAATGTGAATGTTTACAGAGGAGAAGATCGTGTTCCTCTTTCGATCGGTATAATTTTTCAAATAGACATTTGAATAAAGATAAGCGATTTGAATTATTTTCCAAGAGAAAACGATCTCGACGATCAAAAATGAAAGTACTTTCTAATATGGATTACACATAATAATGTCATAATAAACAAATCTATCTGTTTTTTAGTTACAACAAGTCAGTAAAGAAGTGAAGATTCTTAATGAAAATATTGTGCTCGTTTGAGAAATCAACGTTAAACCGGTTGATGAAGAATAATTGCGAAGCGTTCTGCCAATCGTGGGAAACAGTTGCTATTACATCCCGCAAACGTTGATCCATTTCAAAGATATTAACGTTTAGACTGGATGCTGTATTAACGATTTTATCTTTGCGAGAAGAAAATTAATGAAGATCCGGTAATAATCTTCTTTTTCCCCGAAAAAAAAGATGAAACGATATTGAAGAAAACATCATAGAAAAATGATCGTTCAGATTATTACGATTGTTTTTCCACGATCTTATTGCATGTTCTTTAATTTGTAGCTAGATTCACCAAGGGAGATCTGTTTTTACCGAGGAAAAAGAAACATAAAAAACAAGAAAATAAACAAATAAAAAATAAAAAACAAAATAAAAAGTTTCATGATAATAAGTAAAATACTGAGATAATAAGACCGGTAGCTACCGTGCTGAGATAATGGTAATAAATGAAGCAAGAGGAGAAGAAAGAAGAAAGATAAAGATATTCGGAGAGAGAGAGAAAGAGAGAAAAGAGATTGGAAGCTAACCACCGCAGATGGAAAAGTAATGGAGCGACATGTAAAAAAGCGGTGGATGATGAGAACTAGGCGGTAGTTTCGAGGTGTCGGAAGACAAAGGATAACGGAAAAGATGGATTTTTAAGGTAAGTAATGGAGGCGGCGAAGCGGATATAAAGGAGTCGAAGTGAGCATCACCCGAGGAAAAAGAATCCGACATAGTTAACGGTTGTAATCCGAAAGGGCATGCTGCTTAACGCCTTAAAAGAACGTTTCGCTTTGCCACCTTAAAAGAACATTCGACCTTATACTCAAGAGACTACCTAGAACTAACCTTCCACAAACTCATCGAAGATGTGTCGTACGTTACATAGCTTTTTCTTGCGAATGATTATTTCATTGATACTGCATGTTATCGAACATAATCGAAAGTAAATAATGTCTTAATAAATCCTTTTTTCTCTTTCATTCCTTTTCTTCTCTTTATTTTTATCTTTTTATCTCTTTTTTCTTTTTTTTTTTTTTTCTTATAACAAACTAAAAATGATCGAGTTGAACGACCGGAAATGATTGACTGTATTCTTAAGTCCACTTAAAAAGATATCATTGGATACAAATTCTTTTTTTTATATCTGCAGCTTATCCAGATTTAAAGAATATCAATGATTGCACATCGATCTGGATTATCATTTACGTGACAGTTTTATCGTATTGAGGATTACGTTTGAAGGCTTGCGAAGAATAATATTATATATATATATATATATATAAAAATAAGAAGTAAGAGGTCTTAAAAAAGACGGTCTTTTCTTCCGACAAACGAAAGAAAAAAATTCCCACCGTCCCGTCGTAGAAGTTTCATCTCTATGACTTGACTTCGACTAATTCCATCTCGTCTAAGAACTCAATTTCGCTGTAGCAATTACGACGCGGTAAATGATTCTTCTTCTGGCATTCCTCGCTAATGACAAAGAGGGAAAGAAGCCGAGAGGACAACTTCGTCTACTGATACCCGTCTTCGATGGAGTCGGAGTCTGCGCTCGATTTCTCAGAAACCGATGCTCGATTGATTTTTCTAATAAAAAGCATCTCTTATCTTGCTATTCTCCTCGCAGAATCATAACTATTACTTTATGATGTTTGTTCTGTTATATAAATTCTAAATAAATAGATATCTTAATTATTACATTAAAAAAAATGTGCGTACTTTATTCAGTTGATGTTTAGCATGATATAAATAATATCATAAAATGAATGTTTATGATTTGTTATTTATTTTAAAATGATAATGTTGTGTTCATCTATGATTTATCAATTAATTTCAATTTGTTATCCATTGACATTTTTTTGTTGTGCTTTTATATATGTCGATTAATATAAAAACGATTATTTAATGATTATTTTATTTTGATTATCTTCGTTTGTAATTTATAAAATAAATTAACGTCATTAAAAATACATTATTCAATTGAATTGAATATTTGTGAAGATTTTTTTTTTATTAATACAAAAAAAAAAAAAAAAAAAAAAAAAAAACTTAATAGTACATAAAAAAAATCTTTTATTTACTCTTATTTTTATTGATACTTTCATTCACAAACTTATTACATTTAATTTTTACAATACTGATTGATTGCACGTCTTACACTATTATACTTAGTTCCACTAAATTAGTACTTTTTTAATAATATCGAACATGTATGTTAATATAGCAGGTGTCTTTAATCAAGCTATTATTACAATTTCTAATATTGAATATCGTAAAATTTTATATAGAATAAGAAAACATAAGTGTTACGATTTTTGCAACTCTCCCGTAAGTAATAGAAAAAATATTAAAGATGAGAAAAAATTGTTAAGCGAACTTATAATTAGTATCGTCTCTCGATGTTTTCGTCCGTGAAACTTGCTTTCTCTCTACGGAAGGGAATTCGAAACGTCGACTTTTCCGGCACGAACGATCTCGCCACCGAATCGAGTGTCTCTCTCTTTCTCTTTCGTGGCTCACGAGCACTAGGAGAGCCCCTTTTGAAAGGCACCATAAATCAAGCGGAAAGTCATAGGACGACGGACTCGTCTCGCCGTAAATCGTGGAACGTCTTTATCGCGCGGAAATACGCATCGTTCGTTTCGTTCTCGCGAATCGATTTCGCTTCCTCCCAAAGCAAAGAGGACACGTTGTTGCTTTGCGCGGCTTTTTAAAACACGTCGATGATTTTTACGTTCGAACTAAAAGAGATATTTTATGATATTAACATATGATTCCCATAGTTATGACAATCATGAATAGAAAAATATGTTATATGATCGCTATACGACGTTATATCATTTAACGTAGTAACGCATCGTCATGATGACGTTTTTTTCTCTTTTCTTTTTTAACAATTTATCAAGTTCTCTTCTTTGTCGCGAGATAAATATGCACGAGGCGAGTATCATTAAAAATAATTACTTTTTTAATTTTCTCCGAGCTTTTTGTTTCCTTGTTTGAAAAAAAAAAAAAAAAAAAAAAAAAAGAGGAAAAGAAAAAATAATGGTATTCGTTGTAGCGCCGTCGTTGTTCCCAGTGAAAGCCTCGAACGTTGATTTATGAATTTTATTGCCATACTGTATTACCTACCAGCTTATCCGAAGAGATCGTGAGTTTTATTCAGAAAATATTCAGGCAAATATGTCTATGGTAGATTGTCGCGTGGCGATATGAGTAGTTTATGTTTTTGTTGCTCCTATAATTTATTTAGAGCTTATTTAGAGAGTCAGTCAAAGTCAAGTCGTAACTGTATAATCGACCAGTGAGCGTCGAGAAAGATTTAGTTTTGTTTCCTTTTCAACTTTCCTTATATTACAACTAACGTGTAATTATATATATTTTATTTCGAATAAAATATATGTTAATTCTCCTCTGTATAACACCATGCAACTGTGAAGCAGTAAACGGTACATTTCTGTATTTTTAAAAGTTTCATTTCATTCTATCGAGAAGAACTTAATTATTGTTTTATATCCGAAGTTCGTCATGTTTCTTTTTCTTTCTTTCTTTCTTATTTTCTAAGTATAAACCATATTTAATATGGTATAATTATGCCAGTACAAATATAATACTAAGACTTTCACATTGTATCTGTAATATTTTTGTAGACATAAGGAAAAGAAAAAAAAAGAAAAGAAAAACTGGTTCATAGAAGGTTAATCAAGACCGACGTCAATTGGATAAAAATCCAACAAGTTTATTTGAAGTTTGCGATGTATACGAGGAAGACGTCTATCGAGAGAAAATTAATGTAGAGCTATGAGTTCGATGCCATTGCGATGTTATTGAAAAAAAAAAAAAAAAAAAAAAAAAAACAAGAAAAGAACAGAAAGAAAATAAAATAAAAGGAAAGAAATAAAGAAAAAAACAAAACAAAAAAAAAACGAAAAGTTGCCGTAACGATCATTAACGTTGGTACGAAGGCTTTGCTTACGTAGAAAGATTTACACGACTTTGCACGCTCGAACGTAAACTCTTCTTCGGAGAACAAACGGGTCCATGAGTAAAGAACACGAGGTTACTAACACACTCGAACGTGGCGACGCGAATGTAGAACGCATGGCTCCTTTCTATACGCGTCTGGAGTGGTAAAAACGAGCCTCCTCTCGAGAAATAAACGTTCGATTTTCGATCCAGATCGTTGAGCTGTTATGCGACGACGGTCATCGGTAGATATAAACAAATTCTAAAATACGAGAGAGAGAGAGAGAGAGAGAGAGAGAGAGAGAGAGAGAGAGACTTAGAATTGAAAAGATATATATTTATTTTGATTTGTGTACAGAATGTTCGTTTAATATATACAGGATAAATCAATGTCACGATAGATCAATATTTCTTAAGTGACTTTAAAAATCAATTACTATTTTTCGAAACATTTTTAGGCTTTTAATTAAGCATGTAGTTTTATAAGCTAGACGTCTAGTGAAAAAGAAAATTTATAATTAAAAATTCTCGAAAAAGAGTAATTAATTTTTAAAATGATCTAAAAACTTCCGATCGATCCTATAATAAGATTGTTGCAGTATCATCGCTTTCTATGCGATTCTTGCTGACATCGTCCAATCAAAAAGAAACAAAAATCGAAATAAGAAAAATGATTTGACTAGAAGACTTTTAATAAAGAAAAATTAATAAAATGATTATTTCTTTTTCTGTAACTACGAGACTTAGTCTCGTATTTATGTTTAGAAAATCGATGAAGTGAACGTGAAAGAAAAAAGAAAAGACAAAAATAAGAGAAAAACAAAAGCAAAAATGAAAAAGAAGATAAGGAAGTTATAAATGGGATAAAAGTAAGACATTGAAAATCTCTAAGGATTATTAAGTTGTAACAGTATAACAGAGTATCGTCATACACGGTAGATAGAAAATCAGTCAAAAAGGGGATAAAACGAAAACTGAAATACTTATTTCGATAAGCCGGGGTTTGACGTACGACAAACGAGCCCATCCGTTTCATCGTAGAAAACAAAGTCGGTGTATCGAGACGTATCTCCTCTTTCTAAGCGAGATTACCGTGCCGGCTCATTACCTTTCACCCCGAGGCCGATCCGAAAGCGTGCCTAGACGAGAGAGAGAGAGAGAGAGAGAGAGAGAGATAGATAGAGATAGAGGGAGAGAGAGAGAGAGAGAGAGAAAGAGAGAGGATACAAGATTTACTCTGGAAAACTTTTCGCTTCTCTCGGGAATGGGGAGTTTCAAAGAGATTCAACGACAGGAAGGAAGATAAGCACGTCGAATGTAATGCCGGAGACGATCGATTGAGGTAGACGGTGGTATCGATATACTACGAGGTACCTGTTAATCCGTCCGAGGTGAGCGCAATTAGGGCTTGGAGTCTCGCTAATTGAACGTCGATGATATTACTGCTCGGCTTGGCCGAGTGAAAGATCGTCGTTACTAATATCGCTGAGTACGAAATTATGTGCCGTCAAGTATCTACGCGCACCTATCACTATATCTATTTATATCTCTATCTCTCTTTTTCTCTCGCACTCTCTCTCTCTCTCTCTATCTCTCTCTTTTTATTCTTTGCAAGGTCTCGAACTAATATTAAATGTACGCCTAGATTTTCTTGACCGAAGTGAAAAAAGAAACAAAAAAAAGAATAGAAGAAAAAAATATATGAAAAAGAAACGATCGAAAGCATGTTTCGAGATATTTCGAATCGACGATTGCCATGATACCCGATTTGCCATGAAACGGACGTAGTTTTGCTTTCGAGATATCGACCTGTACTAGGTACTTAAATTATTTGCCGGTTAATCGTATAATAACATACCGATAGCTTTTGCTATAATTTCGATATAATTAGTACGCTGCGAGTTATACGCCACGTGTTATCCAATTAAGGATAACAGGATGGCGAATACCGAACGGCCAAATGTTTTTTCGGTCGAAATATAGCAAAAAATGAATGAGCGAATTACGTGAGTACTCGCGAAAAATGATCTCGGCTCGTGTGAAGCGAAAACGAATAATGCTGTTGTTGCGCCGCTTCAAAAACTCCAATTTAATAGGTTCAATGTCCCGAATGTTTGACGAACGAACTTTGGATCGAATCGAATCGAATCGAATCATTCTCGTTCCGTTCGAAACGTTTTAGATTTAAGATCGAGGGAGTTCTCTTAAACTCAATGAATCTCGATCGTTGTTCGATAAATAAAGGCGTCCTTGCGCTGAAAAGGATATCGATCGGAGAACGGTCTGAGACGTAGAAGGAAAACGAAGAGTGAGAAAGAGGAGATGGAGGGAGAGGGAGAGAGAGAGAGAGAGAGAGAGAGAGACAAAGATGGCTACAATCGCTTTGCTTAGCTGCTCTTTCTGTTTCTTGCGGTCGTGTCGAGCGAATAGTTCCCAGGCTTTGCTCGCTCGGTTAGTTCTTAGATCGGGTAAACCGACACCTGTAAAAGTTAGCGACCTACACGTATGAAGCTGTCGCGTGTACGTTGTTAGCAACGCGTATATATATAATTATCGAAGATAAAAAAAATTATATTCTTTCTCGTATCGAGAGAATTTTGAGAAATCAAAGGACACGAATAAAATTTGTCATAAATAGATAAGTAAGTTAAATAAGTACTTACGTGTTTTATATCGTTCATGGGTGTGTTAATGTATATGTGTTAATGGAAGAAATAAAGAATTCTTAAAAGCATACAAGATTGTTCTTTGTTCCTTTTTCTTTTTTCTTTTTTCTCTTCTTTTTCAATGAAACTTAAAGAAAATCACGTGTATTGGAAACTTACTCAAGCGATCGTCTAGAGTATTTTTGCTTATCGATTGGATTCCGATAAGCCGATAATATCGAAAATTATCTGTTTATTTTGTGTAAACAAAGAAACAAACATTCTCCAATAAATATTCTTTCGAGCGATGCTCTTGCGATAACAGGATATTCCTTAGTTTATCTGTAAATATTTTATAAACCAGGTAACTACACATGTTGGAACATGTAAAAAATGACGATTGTCGATGATCATAAATAATCTTTCCTTTAGATATTATTATTGAATTAAGACAGGGAGATCGTTGACCTCCGATCGATTCAAGTACAAAGTTAAAAGATTTTATGCGAAAAACAACGAGTCTCGGAATCGATAGAACTGGACTGTAAAATTTTCGACTGTTACGGTGGATGGTCGTCAAGGGGAAATCGGACAGTATCGATTAGGCACGACGCCAAAGCCAAGCAAGTGCTTGAAACCTGAAACCCGCTTACGTGCACTACCACAAACCTAACGAAATCGTTCGTGATAAGGATAATACCTTCGAGATATATAGTAAATTACCCGTCGAACGCACTTATGAATAATGGATTTGTCGGTATTACATCATTACTTCTTTCGTACCAATAAAAAAAAAAAAAAAAAAAAAAAAAAAAACCATAAAATACGTTTTCGCAATACTTTTGATAAAAGTAAAAAAATATTTTTTGCAAAATATTTTCTTTCTTTTTCTCTAACGAGTATATTACGCTTTTATTGATCTTCTTCTTTTTTTTTTTTTTTTACTGAAAACATCATGGCGACAACCTCATAATAAATATAAAATTTAATTATTACTAAATTTAATCCACAGGTCGTTTATTTAAAACCACATAACAAACTCATAATTAATATTCATATCCAAGTTGCAACGATCATAGAAATCTTAGTACGTACATACATTTGTATTCGAAATTTATCGCTGTCATAACCTTCGCTCGTCGGTGTATTTAAAAACAACAGGCAGACTCTTTTCTAATAAATAATAGTTTGAAAAGATCATAGAGATTTTAATACTTTCTCATTCAGAATTTATTATTTACATAATTTGCGTGACGTTTGTGCGCGTGCGTGTGCGTTAAAAAAAAAAAAAAGAAAAAAAAAGAAAAAGGAAAAAAAAAGAAACAAACTCTTCTTAATAATTATATATTTCTACGATCATATAGATCTTTAATACCTTCGTATTCGAAATTTATTGCTGCCGAAAACCATGCTGCCAATGTTGCAAACCAAGTTTTGAGCATTCAGATTCAACATCTGTCCAATGACCGATACGAAGAGGCTGTCGCTGGACGGACGTTAGGTCATCGTACGACCCTCGACATATTATCGCACCAAAAAAAGAGAAATCATATATTAAATCTCGCGACACGACATTATTCAATAATTCACAATAAAACTCCACAGGAGAACAAAATAACACTAGTTGTAACTATCGTTCGACGATTGCGATGGATTTATATATTCCATCGTTGAAAGGAGACGATGAAAAACACTTTTCTCTTTCACGATATAATATGACGCATTTGTTGTAATAAGATGTTTTTGACAAATGTCAAAAAAAGTTTATTGAATGACTAAAATAAAAAAAAAAAATATATATATATAAGAAAAAAGAAAGGTGACGAGAGAAAGATAGTATGCTACGGCGAACACTGTCAACGATATGACTCGGAGCACTGCTCGTGAAAGACTGGAGAGAGGATGATGGAGGGGCGACGTCGAACCGAGGAAGATAAATAAAAGGGTGGGAGTATACTGCTAAGAGTGGGGGAAGCATGTATATGAGTGTGCGCGAAGCAGCATCCGTAAGAAACGTAAACAGCGATAGCACGACGTTTCTCTTTCTTTCTCTTTTCTCTCTCTCTCTCTCTCTCTCTCTCTGTCTCCTTTCATTCTAAAACGAATAACAAGTATTAATTTGTTTCGACATTATGTGAAAATTTGTAAATAAATGATTACGTAAAATATTCGATAAATTAGAAGAAACAAAAGGAACATAAATTAGCTGGCTTATCTCTCGTAAAATTATTTTACATTTATATATATTGTTATATTGGTGATTATTTTTCATTAATATTTTTATTGATATTATAATAGTAATATCAAAATTTATAGAGATGTATACTTTTTATATTCAAAATTTTAATATTACGTATGTATTTAATTTTTAATATAATTTATGATTATTCTTAAAAATTTTTTATATTAATGTTTAATAATCCGAATTAAAGTATTTTAGTACATTTAATTAACTTTAAGAAAATATAATATATATATATATACATATATATATACACATATTGAAGGCATTAAAATATAAGAAATTATTTTTAAATAAATTTATAAATACTTATAAATTAAAAGCAGTAATAACATATAATAATATTTAAATATTACAAATATATTAAGAAGCTTTATAAAATTTATCTCAATCATAAAGTAATATCATTTAAATTATTAACAATTATTTCTATCTCTTTTTGCTTTAAATGAAGTTTATATTAAATATAAATAAAAAAAAAATCTTATTGCAGTAATGTTTTAGTCCAAATAGGATTAAAAATATATTACGTATTTAAAATATTGGAAATTTTCGTCGCGTTAATTTGTAAAAAGAAATGAAAAAAAAAAAGAAAGAAAGAAAGAAATAGAAACGTTTACGTAAATTACTACGGCATATAATAAAATACGATGGTTTAATTAAAAATGCCAACGAATGGGTTTTAAAAGGAAGTTCGATTTCGCACGATCGTTGGTGGGCGAGAATTGCCGAGGGCTGATCGAGAAACGATCAGGGAGGCCGGATAGACTCGATGCGTCTTCCTATCTCATCCAGTGATCTGGATCAACGAGTGGGTAGAATGGTCGAGCTAGTACGCTTTAACGTTGTTGACAGGTCTCCAACGAACGAGTTGCTACCGGTGGCACACGGTAGATCGACGATCGAAGTCTTTGATTCGTCTTTTCTTGAAAACCGGTTCGATTTCATCCCTATCGACTCTGACTAAATACCCAACGAGATTTAACTGGCACGTTCCTCCGTTTTTCCCTCTCTCTCTCTCTCTCTCTCTCTCTCTCTCTCTCTCTCTCTCTATCTATCTATTTATCTATCTATCTATCTATCTATCTATCTATCTATCTATCTATCTATCTATCTATCTATCTATCTATCTATATCTCCCTCTGTCTTTTTCCCTTTCCTTTCCTTTTTTTTCTTGCTTTATTTCCTTCTGTCGTTGGAACGTCGGAAGATATAATTTCGATAATTACAGCACGGTACTGGTCGAACGGCTCGAAATACTTCCTCGTTGTTGTTTTTAACTGGTCAACGACGCCGAACGTCGACTTGTTTTTCTTCAAATTATTACATTTTGCAACTTGAAAAATCGCGCATCGAGACTTGTGACATCCCCAACTCATAACTTGTTTCATTGCCAGAACGAATGTTTAACCTTTCGGTACTATAATTATTTTCTTTATTTTCTTTTTAATAAATCTTCGATTTTATTTTTTTCTCACTTTCGATATCTCAAATATACATATGCATATTATACATATATTATACATATATAATATACATATATATATTTTTTTTCAATATCCTATAGGAGAAGATATTGCATATTTATTAGACAATTTTTAGACTGTATATAGATAAACAATTTTTATTAAGAAAAAATTTTTTTGAGAAATATATATATATATATGTGTGTGTGTGTGTTGAAAATTTACAACATTTAATTGGAGTTAGCTGAGAAATATTCTTGAATTTATAATATCCTTGAATTGGTAAAATTTAATAATAAAACGTTTAAAGAATCATTGACGATGATTAAAATGGATTAAAGAATCCGCATCAGAAGAGCAATTTATTGAGAGAAATTTATCGATAAAACGATAAATGATATTAATGACACCGTTACATAGTTTCTTTTCGTCGTACTAGACGAATCGAATATCGGTTGAAGGTAAAGACATCGAACGTTCGGCTACGCTCCAATGCCGACGTCGATTTTTTCTGAGTTTTCTTGATCCACGGAGGTCCGGTCCGGTCCTCCTTTTTCGCATTCCCCTGTAATAACAGGTCTGGGTGAGGATCGACCGGACCAGCTCTTCTGTCCCGAGACAGAAAACCAGCACAGCCTCCGGCGATTGTCGTAGGTAAGGGAGTTTGACGTACACATTGATGTCGACTTGCTCGATCTTTTCTTTTCTCTTCTTACTCGGTTTTCTCTCTCTCTCTCTCTCTCTCTCTCTCTCTCTCTCTCTTTGTCGTTGTTTTTATTTATTTTTTTTTTCTTTGAAAACAATTTACAAATAAAACGATTGGTAGGTCGAAATTCGACTACTTTTTCTTGAAATAAAATCGACACATTAAACTCGTCTATTCCTTTTTTTTGCTTTATTAGTTTCTCTTTCTCTTTCTATTTCTTCGAGAAAGATTGGTAAATAATATGATTGATAGATTGAAATTCAACTTTTTTTTGACGAATGAATTATTTTTTTCACGGAACAAAATCGACACATTGGTTTTCTCTGTTATCGGAAGGAAAGAATCAACGTTGTGATCCTTTGACGATCGTAAGCGTCCTCGTTACGTCGAGAATGCTAAAGCGCAAACGTTATTCTTACGGAACGACGAGTCTGAGTTTAAAAGGTACGGTTCAGTGCCTTCCGCGAGCGACGTTCGCGAAATCGCCATTGATGTTTACGAAGAGAAGGATTCGTTCGTCACTTCTTCGAGGTAGAGACTCCTATTCTTATTTTTCGCCAGCATGATTCGACAAAATATAGAGACGGAAGAGAGAAAGAGATCGAACATTTCGAATCGTTCCTGGCGACTTTCCAAAAGCAAGACTTGCACTTTTCGCACTACCCACGTGTTTTAATAATCATCAAAGTAATTTCAGCACGAGTAGATTAATAAGTTAACGACAAAGTATGTAGACGTTGAGCGTAGCACATAACACATACCGTTTGATTCTTATTTATATTCATGTTCTTTTCACTCGACAAATTAATCTCGATCGATCACCTCCCGTTCGATTTTTAATTTATTTTGAAGAAAAGAGAAAACTCTGTTAATTATACAAAAGAACGCTGAACGAGTATTTCGCGATACGATTTAAAACGATTGCGAAATACCAGGTGATAATAATTCGGACGGTAATTTTTAAGAGGAAATACTTACGACGAACGATTTATAATCCATTTTAGAAATAATTAAAGTAGGTGTGTAAGTACAAGTGTTACGATCATACGATCGTAAAACTTGGAGCGTTAGTTACACATAAACTTTGTTTCATTTATGAGCAATGACAAAGTCTGAATTACTTCGTTTATATCTCGTCGTATACACTCTACTTTTGCTATCGTTGTGCTTCCGTAAAATAAGAGAGAAGGAAAAGCGTGGAGAAAGAAAGAAACAAAAAAAAAAAAAAAGAGAGAAAAAACAAAAAGAAGAAAAAAAGGAAAAAGAAAAAAAAAGCACACTCACTGTAGAAAGTGCGTTTAAACTTCGCTCTCGTTCCTGCGAGCGAAATGGAAGATAGATTGCGAAAAGGAGGGCAACGGTACCTCTTCGCAGATATTTTTCTTATCGTAATAGTTCGAAGGCGTTGTCCGCCGAGGAGAGCCGGGAAAGTTTGTGCCTCGAATTAACCACAAATGGGCACGCGAAGGAAGCCATACTTTGCGTTTCACGAATCAACGAATCCTTTCTGTATCTTCTTTACGATCGTCTATCACCGAGATTAATGCGTGTAATATATTTCGATCTTGATTTTCGATTAAATTGTATAAATTTTTTTCATTGGCCTTGAATCTGTTAAAATAATCCGTTAGCTACGATAAGATTTATTTATGCATAAAAATGATCGGCGAATATGCGAACATGATATTTCGATTAAATCGAAGAAATTTTTTAATTGATCTTGAATCTTTCAAAATAATACGTAAATGCCAAGATTAATTTATATATGATAGTTATATGAATATGCGAATTTTACATTAAAAATGCTGATTAACATTATTAATGATGGTATAATAATAATAATAATAATAATAATAATAATAATAATAATAATAATAATAATTTTGTGTCGCATTTTGATAAATTTACTTTCTTATTGTTGAACAAATGATATATTAGATTTTGAAAATATATTTTAAAACTTTAAAGAACGAAACCATTCAATTTAGCGAAATATATCTGGTCAATAGTTATTTATATTTTTTATTTTATCTCTAAGAGATATTTTGTATGTGGTTAGTTTTATTGAATGATTTAATGATAGAGACAAGAGGTTGATGAATTATTTTTAAACAAGATTTTTTCAAAAACATATTTTTCAATTTGGAATACAAGATAACTCGAAAAATAATATATTATATATAAAATATTTTATATTTGGCACTGGCTAGTTATTGGTCATGTAATACACGATTGTAAAACTTTTGGAATTGGTACTGCTAATTTTTATTTATAGTATTATTTTCATTGTTTAGTATTAAATACTTAATCATGGAAACAAAAAAAAAAGTAAATTCGCGCGATTTTATTATAGTTTTTATTTAAAACTTCTATAAAACTTCTAAAAAACTTCTGGAATGTCACTGCAGAAACTGCTGAGAATATAAAACATGCTTTTGGCCTATAGACCAAATTATCGAGCGTATAGAGCTCAATATTGGATACAAAAATTTCGTGATGGTAACGAAAGCCTTGAAGATGAGAAGGGTCGCGGACGTCATTCAGCTATTGACTGAATATAATAATTTAAGGGCCATTATTGAAATGGACCCGCGTA